GAAGAAACTTTTCAAGGGCCACTGTTTTCATTCGCCCCTTAGAGATAGTGACCATGCAGTTAAAGCAGTTGTTAATGCCCGGTTCTCACTGATAGCCGTGGGCTGCGCTGATGGGAGTATCCGCGTATATTCCGCTCGGGACTACGCCGGCAATATCCCCCCTTCTCATGTACATAGGCTCCCGGTCTCTTCCCAAGCTTCGGGTCCCCTAAAAACATTAAGCTATTCCCCAGACGGATATTGCCTTTTCGCCGGTTACGAGAACGGGTGGGCAACATGGAGTGTCTTCGGCAAGACTGCCAGCCACAGCTTCAATGCCAATTCTTCGATCACCTCCTCTAACCAAGAGAGCTGGCTGAATGGCGTGACAGAAGCCAGTTGGATTGGTGGGGCTTGCGAAGTGTTGATCATTGCTCGCCAAAGAGAAGCTATCTGGTTGCTCGAGTTGGCACGGAGTGCGGTAACAGGATGCTACACTCCTCCCAATCTCTTCCGAACGGTGCTTCAAAGTTCATCTAGTGTTATGGTGTATCGGGGCTATGATCTCCCGGACCTCACAAGCATTTCTGCGGAACCTTTCCTTTGGCACAATGCTAGGATACCGTCCAACTACCTTTTAAACCAATGGCCTATCAAATGTACTGTCGTCTCTGCCGACGGTAGGTATGTTGCAGTGGCGGGTAGGCGTGGGCTTGCGCATTACAGTGTGAACAGTGGGAGATGGAAGACATTCGCAAACGACACGGCGGAAAATGAGTTCCAGGTCAGGGGTGGGATGTGTTGGTATCAGCACATCCTCGTAGCAGCTGTCGAAGCTAACAGATCATATGAGCTCCGCCTATACTCGAGAGAGGCGGCTTTGGAGAGCGCGACGGTTATGTTCACTCAACAAATGCCGGCACCTATCGTTTTAATTACTCCATCGGGGGAAGACTCCTTACTTGTCTACACCTACGATAACCTCCTTTATCACTTCGTATTTGCTCCTGTTTCTGGCTCTATACGGCCCATACAAGTTGGGCAGATCGCGTTCCACGGCATCGTCAGATCGCCTGCCAGAGTGAGAGGACTCAGCTGGATATTGCCTGAAAACCAGATGATTGATGGTGATCCTTCGCAAGATGTTGCGTTTGCCTCGGTGCTGTTTCTAGTGGACGGAAAACTCGTTCTCCTTCAGCCATCACTGAATAGCGAAGGGCAGCTCAAATATGACATGCGCGTCATATCTCACAACGTAGAATTCTACGCAAGCATGAGGGATCAACTGTCTGTTCACATGCTAAACGAATCTAGCACGCATTTCTCTACAGAAGCCGAAGAGAGTAGCCTCCGGAACTCGTTGTGGGTATTCGAGGGCCACGAATTGAAGGTCTGGCCCGATGTTCAGGAAGTCCTACGAGCAACATCTATTGAGCCCAGTAAGGAGTTACCTCCAACGGTGTCAATGCCCATCGACTTCTATCCTCTTTCTATTTTATTAGGTAAAGGCATTGTGTTAGGAGTCGAGCCCGAGCTAGTTCAACGAAGAGACGTGAATTTCTCTTTCTTCCGTTTTTCCATTAGAGTACACATCTCTTCCCCTAATTTCTAAATTCAAACTAACGGTTCGCAGACACATCTTTTCCTTCCCGAGATTCTACGATTCTACCTAGTTGCGAACAAGCCCGCCGCGGCACTCAGACTAGCGCAACAGTACCAAAACCTGGAGTATTTCGCACACGGGTTAGAAGTATTGCTTCATCATGTACTTGATGAAGAAGTTGACTCTGCTCCAAAACCAGAAGCCGCAATCCTACCTAGGGTCCTCTCGCTTTTGTCGTCCTTCAAGCAGTATCTAGACATTGTGGTCCAGTGCACGAGGAAGACCGAGGTTAGATCATGGCGGACGCTTTTTGCATACCTGCCTCCGCCGCAGGAATTATTCGAAGAGTCGCTTCAACGCGGCTCCCTGAAGACAGCCGGAGGCTACTTACTAATATTACACACGTTCGAAGAGCTGGGTGCAGCTTCTGAACAGTCGGTACGACTATTTGCTCGGGCTATCCGAGAGGAGGATTGGGATCTTTGCAAGGAGCTGGCTCGGTTCCTGGCAGCAATGGACGAGAGTGGGGAGACCCTAAGGGAGGCGATGGAACTAGTTAATATCCGGGTCAAGCAGGACTCGGACGACACCGACATAATGACCAGACTCGAGGTGCCGTCGCGGAAGGCTAACGGCAGCTCCCGTTTGACGCGGCAGAACTCGGATATTGGTTCCGATGTACAATCAAACAGTGATATAAGCAGCTTGGGCACGACAAGTCCAATATGATAGAGCAGTGGGTTAGGATAGGACAGGTTTGGCGGGAAATAAAAAGACCGAGTCCATCATAGCCACGTGGAGAGGAGTTGCGTTGGAATGCATAGACTAGGTACCTTTAAACAGTAGGTGCTTTAGGTACATAGGTAGGTAGATAAAAACGAAAAGAGCATAAATTGGGTGTATTGTAATTTGTAAGACATGATTGGAATTTAATATAATCCGATATATGATTGTGCAAAGAAGCGGTACATGCATGTAAGGCAGCTAGCTCATTTTCGGTGTAACTACCTAACCTAGGTAATTGGAGATGCATCTACCCGTATACCCATATCCCCGGATTTGAGGGCCAGGTGCAGGTAGCATTGAGGCTGAATGGAGACCCACTTGCCCTCTAAAAACCCCCACCAACCCACCAACACGAGAACGGCATTTCGTCAACTCGGCTGGTTTCCCTTCGCGCCAGCCCCCTTTCTATCAAACCCATATCCCTATCAAAACGTTTAGGGAGAGCCATCGCCGTCGCAGAAGAGCTTTTATCACATAATTTCCTTCTGTCATCGGGGGCACTCTGCTGTTTGTTTTTATTTAATTTGATACGCCGCCTACATCGGCCGGGCCAAACGATAAATATTCGACACGACATCACGTCACAGTTAATCAACAACATTATGATGGATGAGTTCGGTTCTGAGTCGGATAGTGACTACACAAGCTACTGGCGTGACTGGGTAAGTCAAAGCTACCTACTCGTCAACCTTTTCTTTATATACAAATCCACAGCTGGGCAAGCTGTACTATCAAGCGACGAAGCACCTGTGTCACTGAACGCCTCGGTGGCCGGATTCCAGCAGTAAGACTGCCGTGTACACACCATCGCTCCCGACAACAGCTTTGTTCCTTTGTTCCCGCCTCAAGACTCACGTTGGACAAAATTTATTGCCAGCAACCCAACCTGTCTCTTTGGCAACAAAATGCCTTTCTCTTCACAAAGCAGCACATTCCCTCATCAATTCACAATGCCTGCCCACGGTTTGCAGAACAGTCTAGTGACGCCTTCATACGACTCCGAGCTTGATGAACTTAACATCGTGGTTCACTATGACGGCCTTGTCTATGAGTCTGAGGGTCTCGATTACGCTGGCTCCTTCCTTCAGAATGTTAGTGCAAGAGAAAGACGTCTCCCTGCGGTTTACCGGAACCCAAGCATCAGGAGATCTGGATTACAATATCCCCTCGTTTGCATTTTACTCATGATCGGTGTTTCCAGATGCTAACCATATTTTTTAGTTCATCTCCTCCCGCGGAAACGAATACTTCTGCGAGATTGATGAGGACTATCTCACTGACCGGTTCAACCTTACTGGACTTAACACTGAAGTTCAGTATTATCAGTATGCCCTGGATCTGATCACCGATGTATTCGACCTGGATTGCGACGATGAGATGAGAGAGACGATTGAGAAGTCGGCCCGTCACCTCTATGGCCTAATCCATGCTCGATACATCGTTACTACTAGAGGTCTGGCCAAGATGGTATGGTTCCAGATACATGTACGCCTCGTGATCCTCTACATGATTGCTAACTCCTCGTAGCTCGATAAGTACAAGAAGGCCGACTTTGGCAAATGCCCTCGAGTCTTCTGTCACTCTCACCCTCTCTTGCCCATGGGCCAGACCGACATCCCGCACCAGAAGCCCGTCAAGCTCTACTGCGTTCGATGCGAGGATGTCTACAACCCGAAGTCGTCGCGGCACGGCGCCATCGATGGCGCGTACTTCGGCACTTCCTTCCACAACATCATGTTCCAAGTCTACCCAGCACTCGTCCCTCCCAAGAGCGCCGACCGATACGTTCCCCGAGTCTACGGCTTCAAGGTACACGCCTCAGCCGCGTTGATCCGATGGCAAAACACCCAGCGCTCCGACATGCTCCGACGCCTGCGAAAACTGGAGATAGAGAGCGGGTTCAAGGAGGAAATCGGCGACGAGGACTTGGAGGAGGAAGACGAGGAGGAGGAAGATCTCGATCTTGAGGCGATGGAGCCCGATGCTATGCACGTTCTTGGCTGATATCACGGAAGAGGGGTTGATGTTAACAAACCCGTTTGCGGGCTTGGGCAATGAAGAGCATGGACGATGGGTGATGTTAATGAAGACTACGAGTACAAACCGGGTCCGTGTTGTGGGTTGTCGATGGTATTCGTAATGAAGAACTTCCAATTTTCGCATCACGTCGGCGTTTCGAGAAGGGATAGGTTGTTGTCATTCGACGGCGTTATTATAAGATTCCCCACCCGAGATATACGGTATTCCCCGGCAGAGGCGACTTCTGCAGTCCTAGGATGCTAATAAACTGCCTTACCATGAATCATGATCTTCGTATCGCCCGTTCTCTTATAAAGGTAGTATTGTAGTGATGTAGTGATGTTGAGCAATGTTGATGCAAGCCACTCCTCCGAGTTCCGCCATCGAGTGGTATTAAGGGCAGGCACGCTTTCATAGGGAGTAAATCGTGATGGCGTATGATATATGTATCGGTTCGCGAACTATATAGGAGTTATATGAAAAGTCATTCGCCAGTAAACGCCCAAGCTGCTCGTCGTATAGCCGCGCCAAAGTTCGCCTCAAAAAAAAAAAAAAAAAAAAAAAACACTACCCAAAATATCTCTGTCCTCATCGTGTTTGTATGTATTATGTATGACTTAGGTGGGATTCGAACCCACGACCTTCCCAGCCTCAACGGATAGGATGTGCTACCACTGCACCACTAAGTCCTCATAGAGGGCTGCGAAGTCATAACCTCGCTTGGATACTTTGCGGTACTCTAAAGTTGCCTATATCGGATACTTTCTGGTAGCAAATAGATAAACAAAAAGTAACCAAACGTGCAGAAACACGATACGACATGCAGCATATATATCACAGGCGGTATTGTATCTAGCAAGTGTCGGTCAGGTGTTTCCATTTTGCTTTACGACGGTCTCGCTGAAGAAAAAACAAGACATACAGTGTCTCGTTGAATTCCACAAGGACTTATCTAGATATGTAGCATCATGTTAAATCAAAAAGCCTGACAGAGATGAAACGCGTAGTATTTGCGATGTCATCAAGATAATACCAGACCGACCTGATCTGCGTGCATGGAGCCTACATGTGGTAGAATATCTACCGATCACGACGTGTTAGACGTATCTCAGACGCGATAAGCGAGCCCGGTCTCTCATCACCAGGTGCTTTGCCTCACCCTCTCTTCTTCACCTCCGCCCAGCAAAGGGGCAGAGACATGATGAAAAAAGACATCCATCTCGGATGGAAGATAGGGTTCCAAAAATTCCCTGCCCGGCCGAAGCCAGACAGGAGCGGTCATAAAAGTAGTTTTCAACTAGCAAAAAGACGCACTCGGATTGCTCCTCACTGTGACGCCTAAAGCCCGTGCACTAAGATGGGGAAGAAAAAAAGAAGAGAAGAGAAGAGAGATTGGTGGGAGGGTGGCCGGCCTTAAATACTTTTCGGTTTGGGAGCTTGGGTGGGGCTGTCTGCCCGCGGTTGCCACTTGTTGGCCATTGTGGTTGCCTTGGGTGAATGTGCAAACAAGTGACATGTGGGTAAATCTTGAGGCTATTGTTCAGGACTACTGTTGCCTAGGTACCTAAGCGGGCACTGAACACATGACTGTATGACGCGTGATTCCTGCATGGAAGTTACTATCTAGACTCGCTACCTACCTCGGTAGGGACTCATGGGCTCATAGGCAATAAGGATACCAGGTAGGTGATATCGAGAACATAATAATCAAACATTATAGGTTAGTACATGATTCGTTCACTCAGACAGCAGGTGCAATAACCACATGTAGGGGGTTATGGTCAGGTCATAGCACAATATGGGGTTTTGCTGTAGGAAACCACGAGAAGCTTTTCTCCGTGAGGAAACCTCGGTGCCGGCTAGGTTAGCGTGTCCACGATAGCTTCCTGTGAAAATCAGATGGACGGCAGTGCCTTACTACAAAGTATGGCCCAGTCATACCTACCATAGATACGATTCTTGAACCGTTCGAGAGGAAGCAAGTTACACCTCGCGCCCCAATTCCAAGATCGCCATCATATCGCTGGAAAGGAATAATGATAGCATAGAAAACTAACATCAATCCTCGCTCGATACGGGTATTGAAGCTAATCTCATAAATTTTGCTAGCAAGAACTAAACCAGTTTCTAACGTGCACCTAGTATGTACTTTCACGTATGCAAATCTGCCTGACCTTCCGTCTACGCCACGCTAGATCGCCTGGAAACAGCCACCCATAAATTTTCTGTAACTCAATATGAACTCAATATGCCCCTCCTAGATCCGATCGTCTGGCGCAGCTGCCGAGGAACTCTCCGCATGTGACGGGTCGTCTCCTTTAGACCTATATCGCATTCCCAGCTCGATGTCGTCCGCGCGGTGTCCCGTCATCCTCTCCGTCTCATCGCCCGGTCGAATCCAATGCTTCTTATTCGTCGCGTAACTCCAAGACCCGAGACCTGCCCAGAACGCCTTGTCGTGACTGCGCGGGCCCCAGGCCCATCCGGCACCAGATCGGATCGGTAAGTGGTAGAACCGGAACGCGAACCAGGCCGTAATCGTCCCTATTATGAATCCAAACAGGATATCAAATCCGTGGTGTCGGAAGTCGAACCAGCGCGAGCTGGCGATGAATATGGCGGTGAAGAACGGAAGTACCGTGACGAGGAGCAGGTACAGTGGTGGCGCAGCAGCTTGTCTGCGGACAGACTGTACGGCCGAGTTGTGTACCCCGATCTGCTTGGCCGTTGCTGCGTCGACTGGCGAGAACGACGAATCGACATCTGGGGTGCGTCGTACGGCCTCGTAAGAGGTGTCGGCGGACGTGTTGAGGACGCCGTTGCGCAACCGTGACGGGAATGCAGTGACTCCGCTGGTGTCATTTGACGAGGCGTCATGTGGTACGAATGGAAGTGTGATGGCGAACTTGCTGGCCAGGAACAAGGAAAGGTATATCAGGCCTGCAGCGGAGGAGCTCGCGTGCCCTGAAGGATAGCTGCGGAAACCATCATCGAGCAAAGCGGTGTCGGTGTTTTTACAGATCTCTGCTCTGACCAGCTGGCCATTGTACGGACCGTTCAACGAACCATCGTCCGCAGGTGTATTGAAACCGACGATGTACTGGGCGACATTGGCAATGTCGGGTTGGCACCTAGAAAGGAGATCCGGTCGCGGCTTGCCGAATAAGTTCTTCATGCCCTGCGTGATGATCCATGCTGATACGAGGGAAAGAGCTAGGCCTAGCCATCCTGTGTGCAGTTCCCATAGCTTCCGCTTCCATATCAACGACTTCGGGGTACCTTTAGGGACGGTAGGACCGGGGACGAAGATGAGGACGACGATTAAAATGACACCGATGGGTATAGCAGCGTTGCAGACTAACAGAAGGCTGGAGGTGACAGTTTCGTGTTCGGTAAATGGAAAGCTAAGTGATAAAGTCAGCAAACTATTCTAGTTGATCGGGGAGGGAACAAAGAAAGGTGCGCTTACGATATATTGGGATCTTGTAAGCTGAAAGGTCTTTTATTCGGCGAAACGTTTCCTAATACAACCCCAATAATACCAACGACGATGAGTATTAACCAGTCGAAAACGTAGGACCCGATAACGACGAAACTGAGCTTCGATCTAGTGCTCTGGGGTCTCAAAGAGCCGTGTTCGGGCATTTTGCTATATGGGTGGCCAAGCAGGGGAGAGATAGAGTTTAGTGCAGGACCGCCGTGGTCCTCATCGGGCATTTCAACAAGCTCAAGCTTGTTCGCGGTATATAAGCGTCTAAACGACTTGTATGGGGAAAGGAAGCTGAGGAGGTGTGCACCAAAAAGGGGAGTATCTTGGTGCTTTGTCTTATTTTTCAGCGAGTGTACAAATGAATCCTTCACCGTTTCATCGTAGCCCTCAAATGCTCAGTCTCAAAACTAGTGCGTCTCGCTGGCTTGCGAATGCCAATGGAGATCGTCATATGCCGCGTCGAAGAACTCGAGGCGAATCAGGTCCAATATGGAGATTGCTCGCGTGGGTCCAATGTCTTGGCTCAGCTTTTGAATGCACGGTAAGGTTGAATGCCGCGCGGTAGCAGTCTATTTATTGCTTCTCTTCCACTCTTTTTCCCCTGGTGTCCCTCAGCCTGATTAAACGCTTGCCGCAGAGAGGTAGAGTTGCGCTCAAACAAGAGGGCTTGGTTTGTGGCGGTGGAGGGCCACTACGACGTCGTTACGTAGCTAGTTCAGGCTGATGCTGCTATGGTAAAAGACAAACGCTTCGTGTCCGCAGTTCTAGGCGGATTCTAGCGATAGATCGAAAGAAAAGAGATCGAGTACCGTACCAAACTGAAAATGTAAAGAAGGGGATATGTGTAACCTCAAGTGACCACGTCAATTCATTTGAATAAACTGGTCTTGATTCTAGTTTTACTTTCTTGTTGACGGGCCCCCAAATCGTGAGAAGTCAGATTGAAACATTATCAGCATTAGTGCACTAAAATCTCACATTCTGGGGAGGCTATGCCAGTCAGGATGGACATCCCCAGCTGAGTCCAAAGAATCTTTAAATTACCTACCTTAGGTATCCACGTTTAAGATGTCCAACATACCTCCTAATAGGTAGACGATACATAGTACAGTTGTCGGCTAATCGGGTGTGTTTTTGACAGGTTGCCTTTGTTGAAGTGATGTAAGTGGCTATAAAGTTATGGAGCTTTAAGTGCTGATGTAATATGCTGTACCTTGTACCTGGCAGCATTTCTCCTTAGCTTCAAAGTTCTTTGTAATTCATCTGATATATCAAAAACAACTCACACAGGTATCCTACAGCTATTTTCGATACCAATTGATATCGATACGACTTGCAGATTTGCAGTTCATCTTGAAACAAATATCCTCGCACCGGGGCTAACAATACCTAGGTAGTACTGGACACACATGTACTTCCCTACCTCCCCCCCTCTTTTACACCGTTGGATGTCTGCACTGCCACGAGGTCTTGGTATTCCTTGGCCTTCACATAATTTGTAGCACCAGAGCTAGCTGCTCAATGCTTGCTTCCACGCCCGAAGATTTCCTTTCCAAAGACCAACAATCTATTTAGCATGCCCCTGTGTTCCTGCGGCTTGGAACAAAGCCGAACCATGTTACTTGTAGGTATTCCACATAGTGGCGAACTACCACGACCGGTCCATCTACCCTCTCCCGTGTCTTGCGAGCATCGTTCTAGCCCCCCTCGTTCTCAGGTTGACTTGTATCTCTGGAACACTCTCTTCGGCCGAGGTATTATATAGGCTGCGGAGACGACAGGGCATTCCACACATACTATGAAGCAGTAACGCCGTATTGCTTCTAACCAAGCAGTATCGTAATGACCCTGACGAGATCCCTTAAGAGTGCACCTCAGCTTAGAATTATAATCCCGTAGTGTTGTGCAATGTAGGAAAGTAGTCCGATCTCGTATTTATAACTGCAACGCTGGCTTGGCAAGTCGAGCGTACAGCTCGTCGCAGGGAGCAGACTCATCAGGAGCCCGACTACTCGGCACCGACATACGCGATATGCAGCTAGCCGACCACGATCAATAGCAATAATTACCTAGGTATAATCAAACGTTCTTGAATCTGTGATCACATGACGAAAACACCGAGGAAAAGTTAAGCCAGCTTGGCTTTTCGATACCTACCTAAGGTAGCTTCACGAGTAACGCGAGACACATGCATGAAAA